GAAAGATAAACATTGATTGAAACAGCCCCCTTAATAAGTATGTGAAATGAAGGAGTATATAATAATTCTTTATACTGGTATAATTTTATAAATAATACTTGAATAAATATGCTAAAATGCTTTATATCAGAAGGTCATTACAAGTCTGGAATATTATGGGTTTATGCCCTTCTTGTTCAGATGAATATGAATGTCTCTGTTGCCAAAAGACAAATCAGAATTATCAGATATGTGTGTAGTCACACAATGATTTTTTTTTATAAAAAAGTAATCTGAGCTTATATTCTTTAAACTTTTAAGTCTAGTTTTCCACTTACTATGTACTTTAGCTAATTAGTTGACAACTACCTTTTTAAGGTTTTATTTTATGGACATGAGCCAAGGTTTAAGGGTGATTATTTATTGATCATGAACAGTATGCTGTAGTTTTCACATTTTTGTTTTGATATGTAGACATGTATGTTTGATTATAAAAAGCTGTTTTACACTTGTTTTAGGATCATCTTTGTTTGTCAGAATGTCACACACTATTCTTCTTCAATCTTCACAAATTCTGTGTCAAAAATCAAGAAGGTGATCTACTATTGATCCCAGCGCGTCTATCCACGCAGCTGCAATGACAGCTCTTTTGTTTTCAGCGCGTCTGGTAAATCTTGACTCCTGTATCACATGTCCCCTGTATAAAACAACCATTCTCGATCTCATTCATGTTGAAGAAAAGCCCAGGTCGGTCTATCGATTGGGATTTATCCCTCGAACGGCAGGTGATTGCCTTCAGAAGCAGATCAAAACAATTGAAGCTTCAGTCAAAGGAGAAGTCACAATGAGGAGTACATATTGACTTATTGATTTCCATATAGTTGTATTGTGTGCATATGAATGTTCTTCGTCAGCAGACCTAATCGTGTATAGTTTGTTCATTTAATTGAGAAGAATGAGAATCACTTCATTGATTCTTACAAAATGCTGCAGGTGGATTTTATTTCCTATAGAAACAAGACTTCTTTACAATCAGGTGGGGGTTAATCGGTGAAAAGGGATATAAAGTCATTCAACATTAAAAGAAACATTAATAATGTGTTTAAACTTGCAGGTGCATCTATTCATCAATGTAGAATTAGATTTAGATATCTGAAGTTTGTTTTATTTACATTCATTCTGGATTGATTGCAAATAGACAGGCATTTGGGGGAAATAAAATATACTCTTTTTTTGGTTAATAATAAATAATAATAATAATAATAAAAACGTTACTTATAAAGCGCTTACCACCGAAGTCTGTAAGCGCTAAAATTAAGCTGGTGATATTTCTTTTCTCTAGCTCTAGCTCTAATAATACTTAAACTAAGCAGAATCATGCATCACATGCAAAGAAAGCTATATTAAATTTGGACTCATATTGCAGTTTATAAAACATCCAAGAACGTTTAAAACTAATATGGCACTCTGTGATTATATATTTTCGTGTCAGTGTTAGACTCTGCATCATGTAACATTGTGGGAATGAATGATATGAACTTTAACACAATTAGTCATTGTCCCTTTTTTTTTCATGACTCACATGCAAGTCCACTAGTTTATGTGCTTTGATTTTATGGTAAAAGGAAATGGTGTTGTTATTTTCAAGATTGTGAAATTTACAATCTGACAACTTCTGTCTATATATTCACATCAAAGTAATGTATGTCTGTAGCTCACCACTGTCCTGACTTTGCATACCAGTGCACTTTATAACAATGCCTGGGTTGAGAGAAGCAACTCTAGATGAAATGATTTCCTAGGGCACACAATTTAATAGCCATTTGACCACTTTTATCTGAATAAATAAGACCTAGCTTTGAGAAATCTATTGTGGAAACAATTGATATGAAATGGAATATATTTGAATCAATCAATTATATTATCTAACTTTCACAAATTATACAGAATACAATTTAATAGCTGTGTTACAATTGTCAGAGTTGTGCCATTTTTAAGTGACTACTGTTGAAGGGATTTTCCCCTGCATTTATTATAATTGATATAGTTTGCTATCTATGCTTGGGGGTCTTTCAGATGCCGTATGAAGTACACATTGGGCAATCACTTGCCTCTGTTCATTGTTACTTGTAAATGAACTATCCCAAGTTGTTTTACAAGCATTTTAATGATAAATACCATGTAAAATTGTTACAACGAATCAATAAAACACCAGGTGATAGTTGGACCAACAAGTCAAAAAACGTCCTCATCGATACTTCCCTTTAGCTACTTAAATAGGGCTTATTGTACCCCACAAATACCTCTCTTTTTTAGAATCAATGGAGAGTTATTTTAGCTATTGCAAAGAACCAGCTAAATACCATAGATTAGAAGGAATTAAAGGATTCACTATCAGTTGGATATGGGGAGAAATATTGATTTTTGAAAGCTGTAGGACTTGGAATTTGAGTTATTTACGTCTTTACGACAGTTGCATGCACAGACAGTCTAGTTATAAGCTTGTCAAATTAGCGAAGAAATTCCTCCGGGCCAATTAAAATTGATCAAATTAAGATTGATCAAATTAAGATTGATCAAATTAATGACCAGAAATTAGGTTGACAAGTGGAATCTAAGGATTCCTCCAACTTTAGACTTGACTTTATCTTATCAATTTCCCAGTCTGAATAGTGTCTACACTGTCTTATTATTTCTGGGTATTTTATCTTTCATTTCAGGTTTGAGAAAGTCTTGATTATCAGAATATTGTTTGAATCTCCTGTTTATGTTGAGAATGATAACTGTGTGTCCATCCTCCAACCCCCCCCCCCCTCATTTTCTCTGTGTCATTTGTACCAAAACTTCCTCATTCCTTTCTCTTTCTCTTTCTCCCTCTTTCTCTGCATCTCTCTCTCTCTCTCTTTCTCTTTCTACATGCCTCCTTTCCTCTCTCCCTCAGCTCTTTAGCTTTTTTGCTCTCTCTCTCTCTCTCTCTCTCTCTCTCTCTCTTGCTCTCTCTCTCTCTCTCTCTCTCTTCCTTCCTCTCTTGCTATCATCTCTCTCTCTCTCTCTAACTCTCTCTCAGTCTCTCTCATTTGTTCTCCCATCGCGTTTTCAACATTTCTTTCCTACTCCCTCGCCCATTCCTTTACTACCAGCTCTTTGAATTAAATCTCTACTCTATTTACACTTCCACACACCAGAGAAAATAAATTTGTTTAGCGGCAGCGTATAAACGGAAGACAGACATTCTCCATCCCCATGCAAAGTGGTGAAACTTTGATATCAAACATCTCAACTTATTACACACGCTGACCTATACAAAGGTTTCTTTTTCATGAAATCATCTGTTCAGAGCCAGAAAGGCATTACGTCTTTGTTACAGTATATGAGTTAATACCCTTCTGGCGCCAAGTAGATGAAATACATGTACACTTGGGCTAGAGGATAAATGAAAGCTGTAAAGCCATTAGCAGTTTGAGAGGCCAAAGAGCACACATTTTACCACTACATATTTCTTTCTCCACTTTGTTGTGTTTTTCAGAAGAAGTGGAATATGTCTTCAGTTTAAAAGTAACAGCACATGAACATTGACATGTTTTACAAAGTAAACAATGAGAAAAAAATGATAATATGGTATAATATTTAAATAAAGTACTTCTCTGAATATTTCCTTGTTTGCATTTCAAACAAACTTCACAATTTTTCAAGTAAATAGATTCCATAAACTCTTGATATAGTATTAAGAAACACTAATAAGAGAGCAGGACATAACAAAACAATAATATGTCTGTACCAATCAATTGGAGTAGATCATTACACTACAGAGCTAGTTGTTATTAGGTTTATATCCCCACCCACATGTTATGAATCAGATATAGGGAGTGGAAGGTTTGTAACATCTGGTATGAAAATAAATGCTCTGTGACTCTCTCTCTCTCGAGGCAGTAACAGTTACGTTATGTGTAAATAGGGAAAGTGACGTAGATCAATGTAACAGGGAGAGGAGGAGGAGGAGGATGAGGATGAGGTTGTCATAGCATTCAATATTGTTTGATAGGGTGTGGTCCCTCAAGTGATGCGATCCTTCAAACCCATGATGACTAATGGTGGAATGAGAGTGGTCATTCAGCTAGAGGATGGAGATAGTCTAACTCTGCAACCTCAACAAATAACCTTTAAGAAAATACCAAGTCATTTATTTCAATAGGATAGTTTTTTTTACTACATCAGTACTTATAGACGAAAAGCTTCGCTTGACACTAATTAACATGCGTCAAGGACTCATGGACATTCAAAATCTTAGTCTACTCTATATGCCCCAAATTTTGTAATTTGTACATAATTCTCATGCATAGAGACTTTTCGGACCCTCTTCAAAAAGATAGTTAGTGTAGAGCCCTACTTTTTTATGGTTTGCTGTATCTGATTTAGTAAATGATAATTACAGGAAAACAATATATATATAATATATATATATATATATATATTCTATAGTCTAATCTTTAATTTTAGTAGATATTCATTAGGCTCTGTACTCTATTTATAAATAACACTCTCATGATCCAATAATAATGATTCAGATGGCTTTTTTTATTATTACTCATTAGAAACCTTACAAACTAGCTGCTACATACAGAAAAAGTAAATCTACTAGATCAACTTTAACTGTGTGAAATTTAATTTTTGAATAGAATTTTGAGCTCTTACTTGATTCTTTATAAGTTTATACATGCTTCATCTGGACATCTGTAAAATGCACAAATTTATTTGATGCCATGTAAAACCAAACACTACCACAGTCTGAATGCCAAGACTATTTGGGAGGAGGTGGGGAAATTTGTGCTTGGGAGCACACATTTACTAAAGGGGGAAAATTAAAACCCTGCACATATTGTGTGTGTTGAAACGAGATACACACACAGCACTTTGTCAATACAAATTGCACGAACACAGCGGGAACACACACATCTCTTTCAGCATCTTTCACACACACTCATGGAAAAGAGAAAGAGAGGAGAGAGAGAGAGACGGAGAGAGGTAGAGAGAGAAGGGTGGCCAAACTTGCTCAATGCATACAAACTCGTGGTTTTGCAACAAAACCACCAATCTACATCCCTACACCAGAGTAAATAGGTACTTGAAGGGGGGCTTGACTGTGGAGCAGTAGGGCCAAGACACCGGTTTCTTTACCCCTCTATTATCCGCACTACCCTCATCAGCGCCACTGGTATTGGTAGACACTAGCCGCGGGAGATTGGTGGAGGTCACTGCAGTTGACTGTGGGAAAGAGAAGGGATTTGGGCAGCCTCTCAAGTGCACCCAATAGTTACTCAATGGACTTACAAAGTAATACCTGATGAAAAAGAACTGCTTGTTGTACGTACCTAGTAACAACATTTCTAAAGTGGACTTACATTTTCAAGTTATAATACTGCATGTGCAGTTTCGACGAGGTGCGCTTTTCATTGGAATACTCCAGTTTTCTTGATGTATACTACCACTGCATTGATGATGTTGCACATGTTGGAGTAGTGGAAGAGCGAACCTGTTGAAACCACCGATTTCGCTCCAATCTGGCGCTCGTAGCCGCTCTATTCATTCATTTGGCGCGTGGACGAGCCTGGTAGCAGGTCCTATTATTTTCTGTTATATATATGTTCTACCAGCGTATGCACAATCTACCAATTTACTTACTTGCTGTATTTTATTGCAGTGGATTGGGGATTACTAAGGCTTCTTCAGATAGCCGAGTGTTTACTCAATTCAGAGGATTTTTTTTTTCGCCAGTAAATTCTCACAAGGATTAAGCTCTGGACATCAATATTAAATGATTGGACAATCCATCATCATCATTACAGGAACCACAGTGCTTCACAGCTAGAAAGTCTGGACAATAATACAGTAGATAGTATATTTCTGCAATTTCTATCGCATGATGAGGTTCATCGTACATTAAAGAAAAAAATCTTGATCACAATTGAGCTAGGTCTCAATTGAATTGCACATCAGATTTTGGGAACATCATATTTCATCCCATTCAGACTTTGGATATGAAAAGATGCATATTCAGTGATTTCTTTTGTCATCTATCAAAGAAAAGGTGATCGCCCACGGCAGCGATCATCTGTGATATTGGATGAAAGAAGTCATCATCCATCCCACCACAAGGATAGATTAGCAATCTTTTTCTTCTCTATGCTCGTAAATATTCCTTTGTGACTCAAATTCAAGTTGGAGGATTACAAATCGCACTTCTACATCAGAGTGATAAATTCTGGGTTGCCATAGTGATTGTGATTCATGGTGGAAAAACTGGGAACCATCTCTGAGAATGATGATTGAATGATTCTTTGAAACTTCTTCTTCTTCCAGAAACATTGTTAAGAGCAGGATTGCCTTCTCAAAAGTGAAGCCATAACTTTTGAAACCCCAAAAGCCAAATTCCGAGATAGTTAAACAGAGGAATCATTGTTGAGGATCATATTTTTTTCATCTCATCTCAAGTTCAACCAATTTGCATTCTCACCACAACTTTGTTTTCACTTGGACTGTCTTTTACCCCAAGTGTAATTTCAAGCGGAGAGGGTGAAATCGGAGCTATATCATCCATCTCCCCCATCCTCCCATATTTCTGGTAGTTGGTGATGATGATAGTGGTCCACTGATGACTGGACAGAGTGGAATGTTTGGAGGAAAAGATTTATGCTGCTTTCTATGACTGTGTAAAGAAGGGAATAGTATCAGTGGGCTAATCTCTGTAAGCACTCCAAGAATTTCTACTACTACTACTGCTACCAAAGTAAAAGAACATCCCAGTCACCATTCTTCTGGTATCTCTGCGTAGTTGGAGACATCAGTTACTCTTGTGTAGAGCATATGAAATATAAGTTTGTGAAAAATCATCTACCGAGGAGTGTAATCAGAGAAAGATTTAGGAATACTTTCATTCATCTTTTCATTGTTATGCATCTAGGTGAAAGGAAGATTTCACCTCAACCCACATGAGGTTATTGACACTTTCAGGAAACCAACTACTTGACTGCAGGAAATACTTCCACAGTGTACAAGGGAGATATACTACCAGGAATTGATGCTCTTGTAACATTTGTTTGATGGGGACGAGCAAGCCATAAAACCTGCATCCCACACAAGTTGAAAGAGTTTTTTATCTGCTCCTAGTCCTACCAATAACATTATATGAACAGAGAGAAAAAGAGGGATTTAAACCAGTCCTGCAAATAAATCAAATAATGTACCAGTAACATATTTTTTGCTACATGCACCTGTTAGGAGAAGGAAGTACTTGGAACATATCAACAGGGAGTGGAAGAGTGGTTGGTCTGGTCTAGCGTTCGCTCGGGATTCCCTTGCATTATGTCATACTGATACCAGATCCCGGATACACTTGAAGTCAAAAGTGGCGCACTCTAAATAGATCTGAAAGAGGAGACAGTGAACCATTGAGATTGTTCTGAATTTCGCAAGAACATGTCTTCATGAATGAATGTCTTCAAGGGTCACTGTGTCTCATGATTGGTTTTATAGAGGCAAATAAAGCAATAAAGTCATAAAGACATCATTTTAATGTCTGAAACTGGACTCTGAAATGAAACATTCTTGCGAAAGCATTGCAAATTGATTTTCCCCGGAAACTCGGCTAAGCGGATTTAGCATCCAATCCCCTCTCCTTCATCTCTGGTTCCCCCAGCCATTTGAAATTGAGATTCGACTCCGATTAGTTACATGCTGGTCCTGGAAAAACTATTCCTCCACCGACATACTCCTGGAGGAGATTTGAGTACATAGTGGAATTTCCCTTCCCTCATGTCGTCACATGAAATGTACCCAAACGGAATTCAATTACTAGACTAAACAACTTGTCTCCCCTCCCGATCCCGACACAACATTGGGATTTGCCGTCTAGCGTGATAAAGTATTATAGAGTAAGGACAAGAGTTTTGGCGGGAAAATTTCTCGCGTTGCATCTCGTAGTCTGCCAAGATGGCCAAGGTTTTAAATCCTTTTCTTGATGATGAAGCTTTCTTTCTTCTATGACGCTTACAGTAACAATATTTGGAAGAGATTTCATGACTTGATGTGCGTCGGATATCTTATTATTTTGGAATATATTCATTTGTGACTCGCCGATCGGAGAGACATTACAAGAACATCATCATGTTGAAATTTGTGAACAAATCACCAAGCCCGAAAATTAACGGATCACCGGTACATCACCGGAATGGAGTGTCGATAACGAACACTGGGTCTCTGGGTAAAACTTTCTACATAGATTTGAATCAGAATTATGATGAGGTGAGTTTTGACAATTCTGATTCATGTTATTTTATTTATTATGATGTATGTAAATTGTAAAAGATAAATTTCTCTCCCGGTTTAGGTATTTTTGATGGACATCCCGTGACATGCTGGGTTAGTTGTATAGGTACCCAGTGTCTAGGTGCAGTATTATTTTTTTGTTTTGAGGTTCCTTAGATATGCAAGAGATGATGTACATGATTATGAAGACATTGATCTTGGTGTAATGATTATACATCCTCCTCTCTAGCATCTAGCACTTTCTTCAAAGAGATTTAATGATATTTGAACCAGGCCTATATGTACATGTAAATGCAGCTTGTTTTTATTTTGAACTGGTTATTGTTATCGATAACAATTTTCCCACATATTCTAGAACAATAGGCCATAATTACTGGCTGTCTGAAACTGCACACACCTGCTGTTAATGATTCAATATACTCCACTATAAAAAATATTGATTAGATTATTCACGAAATCACAACAATGGCAATGGATACCGTAATTGTGAATCATGAAAACACCTTCCTGTTTTGTTCCCTTTATATTGAAAAATAATAACATCAGCGTAGGCAACAATCATTCATTTTGTTTTGGAGAAGAAGGAAGAAAAAAAACAATATTGTGGTCACTGAGCATCACAAGGGCGTTTTGGTGTTTATTTTATACCGGATACAACAATAGCACTGGAGTTAATGAGCATGATTATGGCATATATTATTAAGTTCATAACTTCATACTAAACTGGAAAAAATACAATGTTATTGAATTGATGGAGTCAATAAGCATGACGACCATGGCATATTGGCCTTAACAAACCAACCAATTAGGGAAATTAATAATTTTTTCTCCCTGAACTCCTTGTTTTACGTAGCATGTCAAATTGTCAACATCAGATCATCATCGTTATAACGACAACACACTTAGTTGTTCTACACACCGGAGACAATTAGTCTGTACAGGGATGCATGTATTGATCTCAGGGGAAGAGATTATATACTATATCTATATAGGAATAGTTATATATCAGCCCAGCCCTGAGTAAATATACTCTTGACAACTCTCCTCATTGGTTCGACCCAGTGGGATATCAATTCTATCCAATTAGGTGCTGTATCGAAATCAGGATTTGATTGGGAATCAAAGCTAGCCCCCTGCCTTCTAAGCAAATAGCGGCATAATAGGACTATCCTTGTGCATTAATCGTATGTAGGCTAGATAAACAAATTGATGATATTCTGTTATGATATTAGTGTGACAACTGCTAGCTGAGGCTACAGGAATTGTAATGATCGTCACAACGTAAAATTTGTGGAAAAGTTTGTAAGGCGAATAAAATCACAAAAGTGATAATTGCAGTTAAATATTCAACACCTTGTTTTAGCAATAAGAATATCCAAGATATGACCATATTTAGTAGCTATTTATGAAAGCATGGATCTACTATGAAAGTATATGATGAAAAATATACAGAAAGTATCTAGATTGGCATGCATACATATATAGCTATACACAATACACTGAAAACAGACTCAATATATTGCTTATGGCTCACCGGATTTGTCCAGAACAATAATCACTTGTCTCGGGTCACATATTGTCATTACATCTCTTTTCTACCAAAAAAAAGCTTTATTTGAGCATGTCTTTATAGTGCACATGTAGGTTTTAGTGAAAGAAACAAGATGCATGACTGATTTACTTAGACCTGTCTGGGGCTCCAGCCCATTCATGTAGTTTTTGGGAGTAGATTTTCTTTTATATGACACATTTGATAGCTGATTTATTTGGTGGATATGATGAATTTCCCTAATTGAGGGATTTGTTTGGTCTACATACCCTTGTTAGTTGTTACGTAATGTTTATCGAACTGATTTGCAGGACATCAAAGAAAGGATTTCTTGAAGGTCGTAAGTGATTTTAGCTTTTAATTCCCATTGAATTTGAGCTGTCAATCCGCTATCCTTGCCTTTTTTTTGTGGTAATGTTGTAAGTAGTATAGTAGTATACATATACAGCCTGGGCAGACTAGATGGGATTTATATAGAACTTGTATAAAGAAACGTATGAAGAATTATTAAACAGTCAAAGGGCTGTACAGACTGGGTGGGAAAATCGTGTGAAGGAACGTCGTTCATGGACTATAATATGATGAGCATTATGTTTTGTTTATTATGAGCCAGAGTTAACATGTTGATAGATCGGTCAATTTGCCGGGCAGACAAATATATTTCAAATCAATGCCACAACCCATCCGTGACATAAATCTTCAAAATTCCTTGACTCTATTCCTCCCCTATTACTTGACCCAAAGAAGATGAATGTGAGTCATTGCATATTAACAATAACGAGATTTTTCACTGACGCCAAAGCGATCGTTAGTCCCAAGAAAAATACTATTGCCACAGATTTAGAAGACGGACAAGAGACACAGTCGGACACCATATGCCCTTATTCCGTTCGATAATTCGTCTTCTAATGAAAGTGGATGCAAATTATTAGTGCGGTTTATTGCCTGCTGTGTTTTATGTCATTCAGATTGACGTAAGATTCTGTTTTTGACTTCTGCTGGCATGCACTGTTGCAGTTTGTGGTTGCCGCCTGATCATGTTTTTATGTGGTAGTATAAACTTAATAAGTATGTGACATTAGACAAAGGCAAAGCATTGATTACTAGAGAGAATATTGATGTAATGTGGTAGGAATCTGTCTGATACTTTTTTTTATCATTACCAATCGATCGGGAATCAACATTTTAATTTTTTTTTAAATTTTTATAGTGGGTATAAAGTTATATTTTTTATTACCCTACTGTTATTAAATGCAGACTGCAGATGATATTGTCAGTTTTGTCACTGTTTTAAAACAAGCATTTGATATGGTTTTCATAAAGGAACTCAAATCTGTTTATTTCATGACATGATGATGTAGGAATTGCTAACTGTTATTATAATGCATATTGTTTATTGGTAATGGCAGTTGATCGTACTAGTTAGTAGACTAGAATGTGTAAATATACAGAAAGACACCATTCTTTCCCCTTTTGAACTTGGATGCTTGTATAAAATATCCCAATTTCCCCCTCATGACTTCTCCCCAGAAGTTGCGACGAGGCCCCCCAACATGTTACGTCAGGCTCCCTACCGATTCGGTGGAATGTTTTCACTTCAAGTACGGCCCCTCCGCTGTTTTCCAAGGCTTATTAATTCTGCACGGGCAATCAAGAGAAGCTGCACGTTGCTGTAAAGGTTAATTCACTCCCTTCCGATTAGAAGGCATGATATATACTGCTACAAATGGGACAATTTATTCAACATTTGCCCGTAATTGGAAAATAGGCTTTTATGGGGAAGACAGTCACTTATCCCATAGTGCAAGGCCACTGATCGAAGATAAGTTATTGAGGTGGAAGTTAAGAGATGTTTTTTGGATGTGCGGTAGACGTTTAATTTGCACTTGAGAGAATAATTGCTCGCAGAGAGGAAAGAGGTCCATATAACTGAATTACTTGAATAAAATAAAATAATAAAGATGGACATAGGGAAAGGAGATAAGTTAAGGAAAGGGAAGGGGAGGGGTATTGAAAATAGATTTATGAAAAACATGTATATGTAGTTTCATAAATTTTTGATTCATTTACTTTCTATAACATGGATGTTAATGAGATGTTCATTTGAATATAAACCAAGCTGTTTGATTTACATGTAGATAAACAATACATACTTAACAGAATTATGGAATATTAATAAATGCAAAGCTGGAGGGAAGAAAAATTAATTATGATGTAACACTAGTCAATTGATGATGAATTACCTACAGAAGCACAGAATTACAGCATCAATAATGCCTTTTAAGAATCTGAAGAGTTGAGACTTGAGAGTCAAATTTAAAAGGAAAAGAATATCCTGTACTGAAAGAAGAATTTGAAGAATTGACTTGAAATATCAAAAGTTAATGCCCTTTTTCATAAAACAAGGTGGTAAATGGCTTTCTAAAGCTGCAGAGTACTGACACTTGTGGGAATCTAGTGCCGGTCTTTGAGACTTGAACAATCTTCAAGCAAATCGGGTTACATGGAAAACAGTGTCACAAATTCTTGTCAACATGTAATACACTTGTTTTAGAGTAGGTCTTGCGTGTGAAGTGTTGTTGGAAAAAGAACCCTATTCGCATTTGTGATGTTACAGCAGCGCCTCTAGCTTCTTTACCCATGATAAGAGTGCTCTTGTAGGCTTGAGTGCAAAGGTGCAAGCGCACCAGAGAGTCTTCTGCTTGAAGAGTTTTGCAATGGCACATGTTGCATCACCAAGTGCCTTTATGCATCAAATATTATAGAATAGATAGTAACCATAGCAACTAGCAAGTTCTACATCATCAATCATTGCAATTTAAATTGTGTTGCACTAAACTTCAAAGATTTTGTTTTAGTTGTGCTTAACTATTTCTCCCTTTATATAGTGGGTGATACCGAGTCACCAAATACTGTGATTTCCTGTGAAGCATTGCATTTCAGCCATCAAGAATTGCTCTTATTTTGAATGTGAATAGGGTCTAGGGGAGAGAGGCCAAAACATTGATCACATTGCAAAGGCCTCGTGTTACACAATAAGACGGGTAGAATGTGAATATTTGAATTGGAATCTGATATGGACATGAAAATATCTTGTTCTCCATATCATCCAACATGGATATGAGATCAAGATTTCAAAACAAGAAGGGCCCATGTCAACATCTATAAAAGGCGTCACTGACCTGTGGACCTATATGGTTTCTATTCCTTTATATTTCCTACATACTGAATTGAATAATAAATGTTAATTGATATTTAAGTGCCACCAAATTATCAAGCAATAATAATATGTCTAAGCTATTGTAAAACAAAAATGGATGAATTAATCTTAAATTTTCTTCCAAATACGAAGGTTTGAAATTTTAAATAAATAACTTTATGACAGTATTTCCAACCAATTTTGTGTCAAGTTTAATAGTCATGACAT